CGGTGGTCTCGATTGCGATTTGTTTATTCTGCGTGATTGCCTTCAGTTTCGAGCGACGTTTGAGTATCGTGAATCAGGTAAGTTACATCAAGGTGATTAACCCGCACTCCCTGGACTAGCCCAGCTCAGGGCCTGCGCAAATAGTGAAACTAGAGGGAGGGAAGCTATTGCCTGTTCACCCTAAGGGCACAACACTTATTGCTCAGCCACAAATCAAGTGTGAAATTAATTTATGTTAATTCAAATATTTGTTGACTACGCTTTTGTTAAACTGTTGCTTGTGACCTGACCTCTAATAGATTACCTAAATAGATTTAATTTCACATGTGTGCAGGTGATTATTAGAATAAATTCGTTGGTTTGCTATTTTGGTGTGCTTAGGTGCAAAAGGTAGGAAATGAACAATATGGAGCGATGTTAGACTCGCAGCATGCTAGTTATTTGCTTATTATTGTTGATGGGTCAACTTTAGGGCTAAAATGTCCTCGGCATAGAAGAAAAGAACTATCAAGCAGTAATCACCAGACATGTTGCTTTTAAAAAAGTCAATAATGTTGAAGCTTAGATAATCAAAGCTCATCAAAAATTGTGATATTTGTATATATATATATATATATATATTTCCTCAACTATTACCTACATAGTTGGAATATCTTCGAAGCAATAAATATACATAAAAGATAAGATAAAATCCGATTAGTAATTACAAATAGTAATTGGTGACCTGTCAGCTGACAGTCAATTACAAATAACAAATAACTATGATAAATACAGGAAACTCCATAGTCATAGACCATGTTAAAAATAACGCATTACCAAAAATCCAATAAGCTTCAATCGTAATGCTTCTGATAAGCTTTAATTTTTGAATATACATAAATTTATATTGAATATTGCGATTAAATATTGTATTTTTGTGAAAATATTTGCTTAGTGATAGTTTTAGATTTATACTTACAGAAAGGGTTATCTAAGTATCAATACCTTACCAATTTATAATGGTATCAAGACGTCCTAGAAGTCCTTCAAATCATATTTAAATATGCTCTTATCTCATCCTTCTGTGACACCAAAAAGGTAAACAAACCCATTTACTGTCAATAAATTTACAATTTACAAGCAACACACGTGGGTTAAACTTGTGCTGCTCTTATCAGCTTTATGAGCATCATAATTGTCACGGAAGCAAAGGCTGTTGTTTACTACTGTTTCCCTTTCTTTTATGGTACTCCAGCTATGTCGCATAATTCTAAAAACACAAAGAACCGTTCTACGCCGTTGAGCGCTGAGCTGTTGTCGTCTCAGAGCTCTCGAAGACAACTGGAAATCCTTCCCACCTTTTACAACCTTTTATGGATATTGTATGAACAAACAATTTTGCTAATTTCCCGCAGAGCAATGACCATAAATTTATGCGAAGATATTGCAGCTCATTCGGGGAATCCATAAATATCTTTGAGTTTTAGTAATAAGTATTAATAAGAGTAAAAGACACTAACAAAGCTAAATGGGGACAATCATATATAAACAAAACAAAAAAAAACTAAGAGAATTTACTCGTTCTGCTTATGTTATTTTAGTAGATATCAACCATACTGAATTAGTGTGAGCATTGCAGATATTGTGAAAAGGATAGATATATATATATATATAGACAAACAGAAAGGAAGATGTAAAGTGAGTGTGATAGACCGAAAAAGAAACAGTGTGGTAAGGCATAGAGATAGAGACATTGTAGGAGGGAGAGAGATACATAAGAAAAGAAGAAGATAGAGAGTCAGTGACTGACTGAATGAAGAAGATAGACTGAGAGAGACAGAAAGGTAAATAGTGAGAGACAGAGAAAAGGAATGAGGGAGATTGATGGAGAGGCAAATAGAAAGAGAGTGTGATAGAGAGTGAGAGTGGAAAAAATAGATAGGGACAGACAGAAAGATAGAGCCTACATAGCTATATTAGATATATGATGGACTATACATTCCCATCGCACTTTAGCATTTGTCATTAATCCGTCTGTCCTATCATGACGGGAGATAAGTATTCTTTTTACTCTGAAGCAAGACAGCTACGGCATTGCTCTATATTTCTTGTGAATATTTCAATTGTCTGTTAGGAATTCATTGAGTAAGAGTTAAAGTGCCCAAGGGTGCACAGACAGACAGCCAGACAGACAGCCAGACAGCCAGACAGACGGACAGTGAGAAAAGTGTTACCTTTTAAAATGTGGGTAAATCGTATAACTAATTAGTAAGAAAGCGAGAAAGAGAGAGACCCTAGGGAAAGGCTCCCAGTCACCTGTAACTGGCCATTAATTAAATAGAACAGTTTAAGCTAACAGCACTTACACTCAGTCATATCCGTATTCGTATTAATATTCGCATTTGTATTCGTATTCATATTCGTACTCGCTGTCGTTGACATGCGGCATAAAAATGCTAAAATTATTTACTTTGAGCCAACAAGCATGAAATGAATGAGTCGTGGCCCCACCTCATTAGAACAGAGTCCGGTCCGGTCCGGTCCGGGCGCCGGCGCCCGGCAACATGCAAATTATTTGTGCTGCTTGTGTTCAGTTGACGCGTAAAGCTCCAGCTGTGCAGACCACGGCCAATAGGGCAGCATGGACACCAAAAAGGATATTAGTGTGGAAATCGAACTGAATACTATGCTGCAACATCCGTTTAGGCGTCGCGTTCGTCGGTGGTTCACCGCCAAGCAGCTGTACGAGAGTCTCCGTCCACTCTTCCATGTGACCTATTTGCATGGACTGACATCGTTTTACATTTGCAGCGATGGCAAAACCGGACGCAGGGACATTAAAAAGTCCTGGTTCGGCTACCTAAACGGCATTGCCCATATCGTCGCCTACTCCGTCTGCTATACTCTGACCATTCGCAACAATTGCGAGTCCGTTGCCAGTTATTTCTTTCGCTCTCGCATCACTTACTTCGGCGACTTGATGCAAATCGTGAGCGGCTTCATTGGCGTCACGGTCATCTATCTGACGGCCATTATACCCAAGCACCGGCTGGAGCAGTGCCTGCAGAAGTTCCATACCATGGATCTGCAGCTGCACAGCGTTGGCATCAAGATCATGTACAGCAAGGTGCTGCGGTATAGCTATGCCGTCATGATCTCCATGATGCTCGTTAACTTTGGCTTCTCCTGGGGCACCTTTGCAGTGCTCTACTCATCCAAAACGCAGCCCACCTGGGCACTGCATTTCACATTTATGGTCCAGCATACGGTCATTGCTATTGCCATTGCCATGTTCTCTTGCTTCACATATCTGGTGGAGATGCGATTCGTTATGGTTAACAAGGTAAGCAGCAGACTTAAGGCATACGAGTACCTAGAGATATTTCGTACACATAAACAAAACTGTTACCAGCTATCGCTATATTGTATATATCTGATGTACTGGCCAAAAAATATCGTTCGCGGCAGTTTTCATAAAATAAATTGATCAAATTATTATTATTTTATTGTTGATATTATCGATTAGTATACAACTTTTAATTAAATAATAATGAGAATTAACTCATCAAGTTTACCTCGTTTTTTTTTTACATATTTTTATATAT